GCATATCTCCAGGAGGGACATTGAAGGTTGCAGCACCACTAAACCACTAAACATTGTGGATGTATCAAGATAACATATTCCCAAAGAAAAACAAAGCTGTCTGACTTGGAGCAAAGTTTCAAAACTAATCTGAGTGGGGAGCTCACAAAGCACAATGAAAAGACTTTGAAGCTGGCAGAGGTTGGATTACGTCCTAACTTGGTCCTTTATAAGCTGTTACCTTTGGTAAATCAGGTGTTTCCCTAAATATGAAGACAGCATCAGGGTGGTGGTTAAGCTGGACAACCCAGGGAGCAAAGGAGCTGATTTTGAATGATGTTCCTAGTAAGCAATACATCACTCTTTGTAAAAAGTTTTGTATTCATTTCTTTAGCTTGATCTGATATGTCAAGGAGAAAGTTTCTATTTGGCCCTAATTTTTAATGCTGGCTAATTGCATTTTGTAACAAATGAAGGGTGTGTCTAAGGCTCAGACCTAGAATTTAGACATGGTTTTTCTTCTACTGAAGTCTATTCTCAAAGGAACGAAATGACCTCTTTGCACAAGTCCACTAGCTAGATGCCTCCCTCTGAAACTGTCCTGGACGCCTCACTTCTCCAGGAGAGTATGAGATGTCCCTTGCCCTTCCTTCCTGTAGCCAACCTTTCTTTTCTGGGCTGACGCATTCTGGCACCATCTTGATAAATATTAATAGTACTTCCAAGTGATCTCTTTTCCTTCCCGGCATCTTAGAATTCAAGCCTGTGCCTTCCAGATTCTATCCTTAAGTAGCGGGGCCACATCATTACTAACATAAATAAGAATACCCTGTTTTATCTGTACTCCCCTCTTTCTAGAGCTGGACCCCTTGTTCTTCCAAGATTAACAGTTAGATGACTTGTACCTAGTAAGGCCAGCTTAGCTTAATTTTGGCAGCTTGCCGCTTTCATCAGCTTGCTATTGCGAACAACAACTTGTGGCTGCGATGTGACACATTCCAGAAGGAAAACAGGGGCAAGTGGCTTTGATTTGGAGCTGATAGTGATGCACTTCTTGAACAATGATGCATCCTTAGATGGCCTGAAAATTTGGATTTAGGCTCAGACCTGAGATCAAAGAATGAAACAACAAATAATTTTGATCAATGAGAGGAATCAAAAGACCCAGGAATTAAACATGTATTTTGATTTATTGAGGATTACCCAGGGAAAAAAATCAAACCTTTTAATTTAAATAGCATGCATGTGAATATTGTTATTGCTACAAGGCAGTTCCACTCACATTTACCTCTTGATGTTTTTCATTTCAGTCCTTTCCAAGGAGGGTATTTTGTAATACATTAACATATTGACTGAAACTTCATTGCCCACAGACCAGGATGAGCTTCATCTCTATTTGTTTCCCAATATTACCTAGTTATTCTGTCTTGCTCATATCAGCGTGTTTTTGTTTCTGAAATTTGCCAAGTTAGTTTCTACTTCAGGACTTTGCCATTCAGTTCCACCTACCTGAAGGACTTTTCCTCAGCTGTTAGTGGCTGCTTTTTTTTTTTTTATCATTTAGGTCTCAAATAAATGTCACATTCCCAGAGAATTCCTTGACCATCAGTCTTTCAAAAAGTTTTCCACACCTTATTTTGGCCCCGGTTAGTTCAGATCTGCTTGTAAATCACAAAACAGAAAATATTTTGAGTGATTACTTTTTTACTTCTCACATGATTGTGTACAATACCTTGCACCATTCTTGTTACAGAGGAGAGAAATTGTCACATAGAATGGATGCCTAAGGCATTAGGGTTTAATTGTCCACAATGTAATTTGTTATATCATCTGGTGTGTCCCTCCCAGCACTCACCACACCCTGTAATTATTTATCCTTTGTTTATTGTTTATCACCCATTGTACAGTGTGAGCACCTTGAGGAGGAGGAGCTTGTTGTCAGTCTTGGTCAGACTGAATCCCAAATACCTGTCACAATGCTTGTCACATCACAAATGTAATCTCTGTTAAGGAATGGAAGATGGTATTGATACAGCAAATGGGCTCTCAGATAAGCATTTGCGGATTTGCCTTCTTTGACAAATTTATGACAGAATTGGTTTTCCCAGAGCTCTTAATTGATTGTGAGTTTGTTCTTGCAGTTCCTCTTCCTTGACAGGTTTAGGGTCAAGGAAAGGAATCCCAAACAAAAGCAGCCAACTTCTCTAAGCAAATGGAAAAGCTTGCTGACTCCCGCCAACTTCTCTTCCTCACTCTGCTGCCCACCCCCTCCCCATTACTCTTGCTGATTCCCCATTTTTGTTTGTCTTTGTGTAAATAAAGGCTGGTGCCCACTGGTCTCCATCCCAGCACTCACTTTTACTCCCTCCCCTTTGGGACACTCCTCCCCTTTTCTTTGTTGAACATTGTATAAACAGCCCCGCAACTTGCCAAAGAGCAGGACGGTGGTCTTTCGGACATGTGTCTGCTGCCCTCCTCATTTGTCAACAAATGAAACCACTTTCCTTTCCCTCAAACTCTGTTTCCTTTTATTGGCTGAGGGAAACTGAGACTGGCGTTCAGTAACAGTATTTGTCTTTGATAATCTGGAACCTTTGCAATGCCCTAGGGCCAGGATTCCTGAATTGTTGTGTGGCTCCTCAAGAACCCACCTTCGAAGATTCAGATTCAGTAATGAGATCATGCTGAAATAGACACTTTTGGATGAAAGGGAATAAAGTTCCAGCTGAGTTTGAATGTACAGTAAGACATCCAAAGTGGTTTTCTTTTTACAATGAAATGCTTGATTTTTTATTTCATCACATAGCTAGTTGAATTTGTCCAAAAAATTAGAAAAATAACACCTGGCCTAACCTGGTGGCACAGCAGGTTGGAGCTCTGCACTGTGAAGCTAAGCCAAGCCAGGGCCACTTTGGTGTGAGTTCCACCCCCCTCCTGGAGGTGACCCACATGGCGCAGCAGACCTCTCCTGACCTGCCCGCTGCTCCCCTCAGCAATGTACTACATCAGTCTGCCTGTTCTGCTCCCCACTCTGTCTCTGGTGAATCTTCTCTTTGCCCCTGCACCTCTGGCCTGTACCCCAGTTCTGTATGCATAAATAAATACGATCTTAAAAAAAAAGTTAAAATAAAGAAAACTGATTTGCAACGTTACTTATTATAAGGGGGGCGCTCACTGTTTACTATCTCCAAATGAAGAATTTGCTAACAATTTTGTCAAAAATAAAGAACACTGATAATTTACTAGAAAGGTTTCTGCCCACAGTGTTCAAATACGCTAAAAATGAAAGGAAGAAAAAATATGGCAGTTTCTCAGGATATGAACCAGGAGTGCCACGTGACCCAGCAATTCCACCTCAGGTATACAACCCAGCAGGTATCTGTATATCTCCCTTCACAGCTGCATTATTCAATAACCAAAAGGTGGGAGCCACCTAAGTGTCCAGGGACAGATGAATAAGTAATCAAAACGCTGCCATTGCAGACCACGGGGGAAGCCGCAGAGGATCAGACAAGGGGCAAAACTGCCGGATCCCACTGACAAGTGACCCCTAGAGTAGTCAGCCTCACAGGGGCCAAAGCAGGAGGGACTGTGGGTTAGAGCAGGAGGCATGAAGACTTAGTGTCCAGTGAATACGGTGTCTGCCTCTGATGAAAACGTTCTGGACATGACGGTGGCGACGTTTGCCACACAGCACATGTACATGAATGCCGCTTGAGAATGGTTAAAACGATGAATTTTATTGTTTATGAATAAAATGAATTTTACATTTTACCATAAAGGAGAGGGGGGTGGGGGGAACCCCAAACAACAGTTCAAACAACTATGGTGTGATGAAATGTTGGGGATCAAGGTCTACCCCTGTCGTGCTTGGTGGTGACAGACTTGTTGCCAAGGTCGAGACGGCTTTGAAGTACTCGAGGCTGTCCCGAGAGACTTTCCTCAGGCCAGGAAAGGGGCCAGGCGCGAAGAACCCGGCATCTTGCATGCGAAAAGGTCAGGAAACCGCCTCGGGGTAGCAGAGGTGACACGCCGCAGGGGCTGAAAGGAATTAGGACCGTCGAGGCTGGCGGCCGCGCGGGGTGGGGAGCCGCAGAGAGGAAGGGAGCTCGCGCTCCGCGGAGGCAGGACGTCGGCAGGACGCGGCGCGGCCGCAGTGCCTCAGTTTCCCCCGGCGGCGGTCCGGGGGC